GGGAGGCGTTTAGAGGAATCTAATCTGTATTTTTCTGCCAGGGCCTTCTAATATCATAGAATATGCTTTTATAGTGATTTTAGTAGTTCTCATTGCTAAAAAAATAAAAGAAAAAAAAAATTATTTTTTTTTTTTTTTTAATTAAATAAAAATTTTTAATTAAATATTAAATTGACAAAAACGTGAAGGATTATGAAAACGTCCAGATTATGTTATACCGGGTTCTCAAAAAGAATCCCCCTCGTTAAACTCTCCCACCCCCGCTAACAGCCCAGCTCCAAAATGGTTACTCAGGTCGTACAACTTAACTTTTGATTTCCTTGTAAATCACTTGCGATTCCAGTGATATGCAGCTCTTAACTCGAACAATGGGCAGAGCCAAATTTGCCGTGTTTGCATTTGAGGTGCAAAAAGTGGGGGGGTGCAAATTCCGGGATCCCCCCTCACCTCAGCCCCGGGGGTTTACGATGGCTGGCGCGAACGGTTTTTGTAGACGAACGCTCGCGTTGATTGCCTTTTATCAATGAGGAAGGCGCTCGGGTGGGTCCGACGGAGTCGAGTAGACCTCACCTTTAGCCCCAAATCTCAAAACCAACTTCCTAAAGTTATCGATCGGAATTGACTCGATTTGCATATCGAATCCCACAAAAATATTTTTAAAAAATGGAAAAATTCACCTCCCGCTATCGATAGGAACGGGCCTGAAAAGGCAAAAAACTGCAATGAAACTTTCTAAAAATTTTGGGCTACGGTTTACTTTACCCCCCCCCCCCAGCCGGAAGTTTTTGGCTATAACTTTTTTATTTTACATTATTGTAGGCTGAAATTAAAACTCTTAGTATATTTTTCGACGCTCTATCGAATGGCGTTGCAAAAATCCCGACAAAATAGGCGAAAATACCGAAAGCTTTCAGACCCTTCGGCTGTGGGGGGTAAAGTAAACTCTTACCAAATTTTGAGATTCTCAAAACATCATTTTCAAAAATGACTTTTGAACAAAAAGTATTTTCCATGGAGAAATAGTCTTAACAAGTTTTTTTCGAAAAGTTCATGCTCACTGCCGTTCTACTCTATTTGTTTTTTTCCGTTATTTTTTTTGTTTCGTTGTATTTAAACTAAGGTTACGGAATCCATTTCAGAAAATGTTCCTCATCACATTAATAGCTTCTATGTTTGCCTATTTATTTCATGAAATGTACTGGAAAACGAGAAAGTATCCGCCAGGTAAGGAAAAGGGAAGGATAGGGAACTTGCTCGCCCTTTTAAAGGGACTAGCAAGTGCCAAAGTTGCCATTTTTAGGGCCAATGCCTCTTCCATTTTTCGGGAATTCCCTATCCTTATGGTTTGAACCGCCGGGCTACGCACCATTTATACGCTGGCGCAAGCAGTATGGAAACGTATTTACGTATTGGCAAGGTGGGAATTTGGAACTTGGTTCGTCCAGTTCTTTGTTTACGAATTTTTTTCTGGTATCCCGGAGTGGTGCCATAAGGAAAGCTTGATCATTTGCATCGAATTCTAAACAGTTTTTAAATACAAAACCCGATCAAAAAATTGAAAATTTTTGAAAATTTTGTAAAAAAGAGGAAATATGGTTTTGAGGCCCGAATCCGATCGTAATGTGGGCCGACTACGACACGGCTTGCCAGATGATGGTCAAGGAGGGCCACAAATTTTGGGATCGCCCTGGCCACACAAAAACGAGCCAAGCGGCCAAAGGTAACTGGGATGTCTGGCTTAATTCCAAAATTGCGAAAAATTAGCTTTTTTTCAGCCGGCGTCTGGGGGATCACGATCATTTCCGGGGACCTGTGGCAAGATCAGCGGCGATTCCTTGTCCACACGCTCAAGGAGTTCGGCATGGGCAAAGGGCTGATGGAGCACCATGTGGGTGATGGAGCGCCACCTTGCTAGCCAAACGTTCAGGTCTTATCCGAAGTCGAAGACATGTTCAAGCGGGTCGATGCGCAGCCTGAGAATGTCGATTTGCGGGTATGTAAATCTGGAAAAGCTTAACCTTCAAAGCTTCTTTAGTTGCAATCCGACATTGCGATCGCATCGCTCAGCAATCAGCTGCTATTTGGCTATCGGCTAGAAAAGGTGAGAGAGCGAGAGAGACTGAAGAGAGAGTGAGAGAGAGAGAGAGAAGAGAGGGAGAGAGACAAATCATCTTAGCATTAACCTTAAACAATATTCAGGACAACCTCGACCGCTTCCTCGGCTTCAACGAGCTTGTCTACCACCACATGGAACGAATGGGGCATCCGATGACGGTGCTGATCAACCACATGCACTGGTTGAGACATTTGCCGTATTGGAAAAGTGAGTACTAGCGGCTACGCATAGGTACGCCTGCACGCATGCTAGTTGTAGACGTCGGTTTCGTAGCTCCTCCTTGTGGTATGCCCTTTTAGACGCACAAGAGCATGTCAACGAGCTCGTCAACGCCCTCGCAGAGTTCGTCGACACGCAAATAGAACAGCACGCCGCGATGGCCAACAATAACGAGCCGTCAAAGGTAAGGAAAAATTAGGCTTCCGCTAGGATTAGCTTAATTTATCGGCCGGCTTCGACTTAGTCTATATGGGCTTGGGCTTGGGCTTTAGTTTTAGCATTATCACCACACCATTTCAGGAGCCCGAAGACCTAATCGAAGCCTTTCTTGCCGAGCGAAAGATTGCTGAGGGGACCGAGCGGGAAGAATTCTATTGGTGAGTGAGAGAAGGAGAGGCAGACAGAGCAGAGTGATAGAGATTGAGAGAGAGAGAGAGAGCAAGAGAGAGAGAGAGGGAGAGAGAGGTATGACGATGTCGCTGATAATTCCTTGCCCCTTGTAACCTGCCAACCATATATTTTAGTCACCGTCAGCTTCGCGCCCTACTTCTCGATATGGTGATTGCTGGTACGTACCAATTTTCCCTTCAATACGCCATCGCCCAAATCTGGTGTTGATTCTCAACGACTTTTAGGCTACCACACAACGTCCTGCACGTATGGCTGGACGTTGGCCTTCCTGGTGAAGTATCCGGAATACCAGAGGAGGGCACAGGAAGAGCTTGGTAAAGTATCTGTTTCCTGATCTCTTATCAATCTGCCTGTCACGCCTGTCAACTGGAACGAATTTTTCGGCTTTTGAGCCCGGACTTTACTACCTTTCTAAGCGGCCCTGTGAGCTATCGAGGTCCCTCGGTGTCGCCGGTCTCTCTCTCCTCTCTCTCTCTCTCTCTCTCTCTCTCTCTTTCTGTGCTAACTTTCGCATTTCCGCAAGCAACCAACTACTTTTTAGATCGCGCAATCGGCGATGACCGTCTCGTCACCATGGCGGACAAAGTTCATCTACCGTTCTGCCAAGCTATCCTGCAGGTCAGGCATGAACCTTGACAGAGCGAAAAGAACGAGAGAGAAAGAGCGAGCAAGGAGGAGAGAGTGAGAGAGAGAGAGAAAGCGCATTGCATCATTCTTACTTTAAATTCGATTCCAGGAAGTTCATCGCTACGGGACCGCTGGGCTTCTGACGCTCCACCACGCAGCTTCCGAGGACGTCCACGTCCAAGGATACACAGTTCCAAAAGGATGTACCGTATACTCACTGAATGTTTGCGTGCATTATGATGAGAAGGTAACTCCGAGAAAACATTCCCTTGACCTTTTTTTTTTCTCCCCCTTCTCCTTCTCTCTCTCTCTCGCTCTCTCAGACACACATTTTTCAGCTCTACCCTGATCCTTGGGAGTTCCGTCCGGAGCGCTTCATTCGGGAAGATGGGAGCTTTATAATCGATGAAAAGGTAGGTTGTCTGACGCTCTCTTTCTCTCGTTCCCTCTCCCTCTCTATCTCTCTCTCCCTCTCTCTTTATCTATTCAAATCCGGTTCAGATCACGCCGTTCCAACTTGGCAAGCGTAATTGTGCAGCGCGACCGCTGGCCCATATGGAGTTATTTTTGCACTTGGCCAACGTTATGAATCGGTATACGGTAAGCCCGATTGCGAATTTCTAACCTTTTTGCTCCCCAGATTACCGGTAAAGTGTTGCCACCCTACGAACGACGTCTCGGCCACGCTTTTCGGGCCCCGAAGGTTATTGTCGATTTCACGAGGCGGAAATAATAAATTAGTTTTGCTTCCAGTCCATTTTGCGTACCACATGGTTTTGAACGAAAGTGGAAGCGAGAGAGAGAGAGAGAGAGAGAGAGAGAGAGAGAGAGATAGAGAGAGAGAAAGAGAGAGAAGAGAGAGAGAGAGAGAGAGAGAGAGAGAGAGAGAGAGAGATAGAAAGAGAGAGAGAGAGAGAGAGAGAGAGAGAGAGAGAGAGAGAGAGAGAGAGAGAGAGAGGAAGAAAAAGACAACAGATAAAGGGGGGGGGGGAAATTTCAAATTTAAAAATTATCAATAGAACGCAGGAGTTTCTGCTACACCTCCTGGGGCTTGAGAGTATCAAGCTGCAGCTTCACCAGGACCAACCCGATTTCCAGGCGCGGCATGATTTGCTTGAGCTGAACTGCCCCGGCCGGCTCTGGAAAAATCAACCAGAGCGCCACCCCAGAGATTTAATCACGAAAGATGGAACGATTCTGGGCACATCGATATTTCCTACGGAAAAAAGTTTTGCCTTTTTCGACTAGATGCGTTTTTATGTTTTACATACACTCACAGAATACCCTGACATGCTGCCGACAAAATCGTTCCTTGGAAAAATGCCTTTCCTTAGCCGTTATTAATTTTTTGAGACCCTCTCAAAGTTCGAGAACCCTGCTGACGCAAACTGTGCCCATTCTCTGCTCACCGTGTCGGGCTTTTCCCGTCGGCCGGAAGAAAACGACCCCCAACACCCGCGATAGCGTTATCAAAAGGCCAAGAATTCTACGAAAAAACGACAGTATTGGACAAAAAGTCCGCCGTTGAACCGTCTATTGGCCGAGATGGAGTGACAGGTTCCGCTGTCGAGACGGCCAGTCGTAGACAAGTGCACAATTCCCAGCCACTACAAGCCCGGCTGCCAAAATGGAAGAAGTCATCCGAGTCTCTGGGCTTACTGTAGGTGCTTCAGGGTCCTTTCTAAGCTACTATCGATATCCAGGGTGACGATTTTTAATATTAGGGGATCTATCGAAAGCCCTCAAAAAGGCGAGTCTAGCTATGCTATCCAATTTTCGAAATTTTGGAATCTTTGGATTTTGGCGTGAAGAATACCGAAAAAAATCCATTTTGAACCTCGGAGATAGGTTCTTGCGGATTGGGAAAATTTTTGCTTAGGGGCCAATTTTTTTTCAATATAACAGCGGAGGTGTTTTTAAACTGTTTTTTTTACTTTTCCTATACGGGAAACTTTACAAATGTTAGAAAAAACACAAATATATATTTTCCTCAAAAATGACCGTTTTTAACCAAATTGCCGACTTTTTAACTCACTTTTGAAAGTTTTTGGATAGTTTTTCTAGCTAGAATATGGATTTATTTAGTCAAAACATTAGGAAAATATCTCCTATTAAGTTACTAGGCATTTCTAGATTAATACAACAAAGATTTTATTACTAATTTTTAGGTGCATCCCAGCGAACTAGAACGGGTAGTACGGTCGATAGATGGAGTATTGGACGGTGTGGTTGTCGGTGTGGCACATGAGACGAAGGGAGAGGTAATAAAACCTAGCGTCACCAAGCTTTTTCTGGACGCTGCGAATTTCGCTATCTTTTTTATGAATAAACGTAGAGGAAGTATAAGCTCGTGTGCCTCGGCTGATAACCATATCCCGGAACTTTCAGGCTCCACACGCCCTCGTCGTAAAAGGAAAGCAAGGGATCACCGATTGCAAGATCATGGCCCTCGTTAATGGTTTGTAAATGTATGTTAATTTTTAGGTCTGAATTTTCAGGCCAAGTCCCGCGCCATAAACAGCTCGACGGTGTGACCTTCATCCGGGTGATCCCCAGGTCGTTGGACGGAGAGGTGTCGAGGAGCTTGTTGAAAGAATTAAATTATTTAAAAAAAAATTAATGCTGGATTTTTTTTTTTATAATTTTAATTTTTTAAATTTTAAAAAAAATTGGGGGATAAATAATTTTTAAAAATTTTTATTTATAAATGTTTTTTTATTTAAAAAAAAATTTTTTTTTTTTTTTATATTTTTTTTATTGATTTTTTTTTGGGTAGGGGAAAAAAAAAGGGTTTTAAATTTTTTTTTAATTAATTTATTTTTAAAAATATTTTTTTATTTTTTTTTTTAAAAAAATTGGGATTATAAATTATTAAATTATTAAATAACAACACCAAAACTGGACATTTTTTTAAATAAAAAATTTACCAACGGGGTGGAAAGTTTTTGAAAATTTTAAATTCTTTCTTCGCTCCTTTTCCCAAAACATTACGTACAAAAATATAATAAGGGAAAAACGGCGGGGCCCTTTTATTGGACACTCTATTTTGGTCCGGGAGACCAGTTGAGGGCAAAGATTTGAATAAATGCCTATTTATTCACATCCCGAGAGGAAGAGTCAACGTAATTCGAGAAATTGAGAGCTTGCAGTATCGCATCCGAAAAGTGGCAGAAATAGCGTGAGAGAGGCAGAGAGAAAGAGAGAGAGAGAGAGAGAGAGAGAGAGAGAGAGAGAGAGAGGGAGAGAGGGAGAAAGAGAGAGAAAGAGAGAGTAAGAGAGCGAAACAACAAACGGTGATATCGAAGTCATCTGGAAAAACGATCCCAGGAATTTTCTGCTCCGAAACCTGTAGTGGGTTGCAAAAGTAGTGGGTCATTAACGTAACAACGAAAAAAAAAAATACAATACCTTTCTCTCCCGCTTGCTCTGCCTCTCTCTCTCTCCCTCTCTCTCTCTTTCTCTCTCTTGCTCCCCTCCTCGCTCTCTCTCTCCCGCTCTCTCTCGCTCTCTTTCTCTCGTTTTCTTGTGTCTATTAAGTTCAACTTTTATTTTTCATAAAATCTTCATAAAATCTCATAGACTTTATTTAGTCTTCAAATCGCGCAAAAAAATGGGTTAGGGATTCAGGGCTGGGCGCGAAAGAGATGACTTTTTGGGGATCAATCAGGATGCGGCAAGGAAAATGTACAATCATCATAAATTCAATTAAAAAAATCGAAAAGTTCAATTTTCTGGGCCAGGATTTTGTTGAGCATCTGCTTGATCTTCCGCTTGCTCGCCTTGTTGAGCTTGATCATCTGCTGGAACATCAGCGTCAGCAACAGGAGCATCAGCTTCAGGGGCATCTCCTTGGTCTTGAGCTCCAGCAGCAGCGGCAGCATCTCCTTGGTCCTGAGCACCATCAGCCGGGGCAGCAGGAGCAGCCGGTGCGGGAGGAGCAGCAGCGGCAACCGCCGCTAGCTGCGCTCGAGCGAATTGCGCTGCGTGGAGTGCATGGGGGAGAGGTGGGAGAGGAAGACGAGCAGGTTGAGCAGTAGCACCAAAGCGCTCGGGAGGGTGGCCGGTGTTCAGCTCGCCCATGTCGCGCAGGATCACCTCCCACGGGTTTTCATTTCTGAAAAAATGCCTTTAAAGAGGCCAAGGAGCGTGAATCGACCCTTCTACGGACTCGGTCGATTATTGCTTTTTCCGATTAAAATATAGTAAAATGTTACTAAAACACTACCAAAGGCAAAATAAGCCCCCCTCCCCCCCGATAATGCAAAAGAGCCAAATAAAGATAAAGCTCTCAACCTACTTCATCTCCTCCTCCTCCTCGGGCGTGAAGTCGTTCTCCAGCATCCAGATTTTCCGAATCTCCCTCCACGTTTTTGCCCTCACCATCAGGGCTACGGTATCCGCGCACTTGTCAGTGAGGCACTTGATGTCCATGTAGTTGGCTGCCTAAACTTGGGCATAGCTTGGGCTTAGGCTTGGCTTAGGCTTGGCCTAGCTTAGCCTTGGCTGAGGCTTCGATTCTATCTTTCTAATCTCCTATAACTTACACAAAACAGCTCAAAGAGTAGCTCGTCAACGTCCGCCATGAAGTCGTCTTCCCATTTGGTCATCGCCGAGTCGCGCGAGTTCAGCCACCACTTCTCCTCTTCCCATTCCGGCATCGTCTTGTGCTTCTCGCACCATTTTACGATCTGTAAGTCGGAATTTTAAAGTTTTGGGCTAGAGCTTGGGCTCAGGCTTGGCTTAGGCTTGGCTTAGGCTTGGCTTAGCCTCAGGCGGAGGCTTCGGCTCAGACATAGCTAGGGGCTTAGGGGTTAGCTCGGCCGTAAGTTTAGTTTGGGATATGCTTTGGCAGGCTTATGTTAGACCTAAATTGGCCTGAGCTTAGGCTTATGCTTCGGCTTAGCTGAGTGTTAGACTTTGGCTTACAAGTCTTGTTGGGCTTGGACTTACTAAAGGCATGCACGTGCTGCTGACGTTGATCATCGGGATCGGCTGCATCGCGCCCGCTTCTCGTCGGATACGCTTAGGGTCCCGAAGAGAGAAAATGATTATAATTTTTATCAAATCTAATTTATATATTTTTCTATTTGATTACTATCATAAATTTCGGGAAAAATCACGTCTTACCACTAAGCTTTACAGGGTTCTTAGCGTAAAATTGCCATCGTAAGACGAAAAAGTAGCTTTTATCGTACTTCGAGGTTAGTTTTTTTCACATTTTCTTAGACCAGCATTGTTTTATATATTTTTAAGAGTTTAAATAAGATATTATCAATTATATCGGTGCTGACCAACCTGAACCATTTGCTTGACGAGCCCCGAGAGCATGGCCGCGCTTTTCTCCATCGTGAATTCGTGCCCATCGTTTGAGGTGAACTGAAGGCTATTTTTTAGGGAGTTGGTCTTCTAATTTATATATTATTTCACAACTATTTCCTTTATCTATAAAGCAAGATAAGCTTCCTGTGAGCATGGCCTCAAATTTCCGAGTTTCGAAAGTAAAGGTCATCTTGTTTTTAGGTTTCTTCTGGCTTCAAAAATATTTCTGTATTTTCAATCTATCAATTACCGCTAAAACCATTACAAAAATTGCTTTTAGATTCAAGAAATATAAAGCTATGTGCATTAAAAATATGAAAAAAAATCCACCCTATAGATGATTTCCTCCCTAGACCTCTTTGCGCTTGCATGGTTGTCCTCAGCGGTTGGCGGCATTTTCTAGAAGGGCGGATTTTTCCTCTTAAAGAGGTCTATGTGTCAGAAAAAAAATTAGAGCGCCTTTGCGCTGGATTAGTATCTACCTGGAGGACGAGAGCAGGGCCCGCCTCAAATTGATGGGCGGCTGCGCAGGTAAGGTGTCAATAGTAGCGCCCCGGGACCGAGGGTTTGATCGGATAAGCGAAACGAGGATTCTCAAATCTACACGAAAACACCCGAGGGCAGCGTATTGTAGCGTAACGGAGAGCGTGTTATTAATTTCCATCTCTTTGTGATACCATGTTTATTCAGCGAAATGCATTCGAAAAAATAGAGGAGCATCAGGGAAAGGAGAGAGCGAGGGGGAAGAGATTGAGGGTGAGGCTGATAGAGAGCGAGTGGGTGAGAGAGAAAGAGAGCAGAGAAAGTGAGAGAGGAGAGAAAAGAGAGAGACGAGAGAGAGAGTGAGAGAGATGGAGCAAAACTTTTGTGCCGGACGGAGGAGGCCTTGGTGGAGTTGCTGCTCAGGCTCCTCAAGGGTGAACTCCGCGGGCCAGCTACTCCGCGTGCTCGCAAGCGGGGCACAGACCTGGTAATGGGGATAATCGGCTTCAGCCTCTGACCTTTGGCTTAACACTCCCCCCACCCCAGCTAACCGTCTCTTAGCCGACCCAATAATTCTGGCTGTTAGCGGCGGGGGGTATCGGGGCAGCCTTTTCAGCTCAGGTGGTCATATATTTGCTAAATAGTCGCCAGAACAAGGAATTATTTTGTATGCTTAATACAACTGTGGTGGATGCACAGGGAGCCGAAAGTTGAGTACAAAGTAGTTGGGGTGCTCTACGACCGGGGGACGGGTTATGGCTACGGTTTACTTACCAACCTCTTCGAATCGCCTTGGCCTTAAAAATCCCCCACAACCTAAGCGAGACTACCGACAACTTTCCGGACCCTTCGGCTGTGGGGGGGGTGATTTTAGCGGGGTAAACCAATTTTTCGGTTGTATGTCTCTACGGGTTTATAATTTGCAACAATCATTTCCCCAATTTTATAACCATCTTTTAGCTATCAAAAATAAAAAACACTAAAAAAATTCGAAAATTATTCACTTTTGGTCAAGAATGTATGAAAAATGACCAAAAGGTCAAAATGTTCGAATTTTTTGAATAATGAAAAAATGGTTGTTATTACTTCCGACTAAAACAAACAGAAAGTGGTTTCCCCCATGCTAACCTCCCCTCCCCCCGCTAACAGTCCAGAACTGCAGAACCTACCCCCTCGTACCACCGCATCCGGGAGGCGCAATTCGGGTTAGTGACGACCCGCTCGAGCAGGCGCCTAGAAGCAACTGGAGCCCCAAGACGTAGTCCCTGGCCGGCCTACGCGAACTTCCGGACGTGGGGTTTGCAAACCGGGCGCGCAAACTTCAGCGACGTCTGCTGGTCGCCGACACCGGGCATCACACATCATGCCACCTGCCCACCAAGTAGCACGGGACCTCCTCGGGCGTTTGGCTGAAAATGAAAGTCTAGGAAACACGAAATTTTATATTTTTTTTAATTCCTACTACCATTTTCACTTCACACAATTTAAAGCTGAGATTGCAGCCAACGACATGTTTTTCGACGCTCCCCCGGCAAGTGTTGGCAAAGCCCCGAAAATTCCGAAATTTGATTATTACTGACCTTCGTGCCGTGGGAAATCGTAGCCCGGAAAGAAAGCCACCATTGTAATGGTAGCTGCCAGGTAGTCCCAAAGGACTACAATGCAATAGTATAGCGCCTTCAAATCTTTTCATCTTGCTCAGGAGCTTTGAACAAATATTCAAGTTGCTAATATCTTCGTTCTAAAACATTTAAGCGTATCTGGGCTTTGTGTTATGCCAGCGCTCGTATTCTCCATCCAAAATTACATCCCGAAAAACGTTTCTAGATCGCTTCTAGATCCAAATGTCCAAATGTCCAATTGAAATGTCAACATTTGAAATGAAAACTGGGGCCGTCTACCTGCGTGTGTTGTCGCTGGTGGTGTCAGAAGGTCAGTCGATCTTTGTGGCCGTCTTGAGGCCTCCGGCGCCATCATCCCAAACGGCTCACGATCCAGTACCATCCTGCTCCACTTGCTATAAAGGGCGAAAACGTATACTAATATGATCCTACTACTATATAAAAAAATAGTGTCTGTGCACGATGTATGTGTGCATTTCCATCATCATTTGCCTCATTTGCAACTTCCATCAGCACGTGTTCAAGCTGGTATCTCAATAAGGGGCAGTTAGGGATTATGTTTTATACCTCATTAGTGCGTAATGACCGCGGGATGACTGCCCGCTCCTAAAATTTTCAACAATTCTGGTGTTTTCGATGTTAAAATTAAGTTTTGTTGAAAATCGAACCTGCATTGGAAACAGTGCTACGCCGCGATTTGATAGCCTATAAGAGAAGAGGTCCCATTTCGCATTTTTGTCATCCATTAAAAAACTGAATTATACAAAGGGACGAATATGATGGAATCAGACAGATAAGGTTGAAAAGTCGCGGCCTTTTCAACCCTGGTGCATTAACTAATATCTTGGTAAATCAAATAGATTCCATGAGAAAAAGTATTTAGAAGCCACTATAAAAGGTTTCAGGGTTTTTGCTTTGTTCTAAAAATTCAACACCTTTGTCGAAAAAGTATAGGTATAAGAAAAAGTATTTTTTTGGCAATTTTAATGAAAGTTGGAACGACGTTTTTATGCTTAGGCATTGTAAAAAAAGGTCTGGCGTACCGGTGTTGGCGGGTGACCCCCGCATTCTGCGTCATCTCTTCGCCGGGTGGTGATTGAGCATCCTTCTTCTTCTCTGCTCCTTCTTGTCAGTTGCTCGTATCCGCTGTGCAGCGTCCTCGATGACACCCTCGCGAGCCTGCAAAAAGAAAGGTCAAACCTGTTATAAATATCACGTGAGGAGCGAGCGAGAAAAGTAAAAGTGGCAGTAGGAGCAAAAACAAAAGAGAAATTGTACTCAAATTCCAGCACTTTCGGCCGAAAAAAGTATTTTTTTGTCAATTTTTAATGAAAGTCGAACAACAGTTTTTATGCCTAGGCATAGTTGAAAAGGTCTGGCGTACCGGCGTCGGCGGCTTGGATCCCGCATTATGGGCCATGTTGTCGCCGGGTGGCGATCGAGTAGCCTTCTCCTTCTCGCGCTCCTTCTCATCGGATCCGTGGTAGACGACACCCTCGCGAGCCTGCAAAAAGAAAGGTCAAACCTGTTACAAATATCACCGGAGGTTCGAGCCAGAAAAGTAAACGTGGTAGTGGGGCCAAAATCTAAGCCGAATGCAAAAAAAAACACAGACATTTTACTCCAATTCCAGCACTTTCGGCCGAAAAAGTGTATTTTTCGTTAATTTTTAATGAAATTCGAACAGTTTTAATGTTTGGGCATGGTAAACAAAAGTTTAGCGTACCGGCGTTGGCGGAGTGGTTCCCGCATCCTGGGTGATGTTGTCGCCGGGGGCACGAGCAGCATTAGTCGCCTCATCGGATCCGTCGTAACCGTGATTCTTCTCGTCTTCAGATTCGCCAGTATACTGCACTTCAGCTTCTTGCATGACCTGTAAAATTGAGTTCAGCATTTCCGAAACCAGAAAGGCAAACGGGGCTTTGAAGGATCCTACCGGTTGCGTACGCGGTGCATGGCCTCCAGATGCCGCAGTGTCCTTGTGGGATTGCGTCGATGAGTCGTCAGCGTCACTCGCGTCTATCCAGCTGTCGAGCCATCCGTCGGCTTGTTGCACCTGTAGAAAAAGGTTAAAATTGCAGAAACAGCATTGACAGCCTCGTTGAAAGCTATTAAATGGTGTTTTCCCCCAAGGTTGCAGGCGGCACCGAAGTGTTATACCGTTGCGTGGCGTCCATAGTGGTGTCGACTTCCTGGTCAGCCGACTTCCTCGGCCCGCGAACACGTTCCTGTAAGAGCGCACTCATATTCACTCCAACCATGGCCAATAAGCGTGAACCCGGCCCACCCCTTCCCGTACCTGGTGCCCATCTTCCGGGACGACGGCGGGCGGCGCTGGCACGAAGCCGCCAAAGGGGAGCGGCATCTGAACGATTTTGTACATTGATGAAAGGAGCTGTCAGACCGGCTTGGTGATAGTGATGACCATCATGGGGGCCGCAGGGGGAACGCGAGCCGCGCGTCTGTAGAGCGTTTCTGCGGTAAGCCCCGCCCCGAGCTCGGTGGCAAGCCGAACTTCTCTGGCTTTGTACTGAAATTAGGAAGCACTGTTACTGTCCCAACTCATTGAGCCGCGGCAAGGTAGGAGGTCGCAAAGTACCTTCTCGTCGAACTTCTTCCAGGCAAGGTCCAGGGCTTTTTTGGCGGTCTCCAGCACGTCAAGACGGCTGGCGCGTTCCGCCTCCAAGGGCTCCATTGCCTATAATCGCGTATTTTTAAGGGAGCTAATTCGCGAACCTCTCTCAAAGCGTCAAGAGACAATGCCTCCGATTTCGAAGCCAGATCATAAGCTCCCTCCAGAGTACTGTGCAATTCAGGCGTTAGCTCTTGCAGGAGCTCCGGAAAGGAAGCGATGTTCAAAGTCTAAAAAATTCATAGACGGTGTAGAGAGCTGGTAAATATTGTTCGAAATCGCTCCTACCTCAGTTTCCTTCGACCGAGGAACATGGATCCACTCTTTGTTGTGGAAATTTTTAATGTCCAAAGCGTCCCAGGCATTATGGGCCAGATCTTCTTGTAAGTGCGCACCGTCAGCGGCTCGTTTGGAGAAAATGCGCATCAGGAAATCCTAAAGGGAAACGTCTAAGCTAGCAACGTAGACATTTTATGTCCGAAAAAAGCCAAAACGTCGAAATCAAGGGCAACAGCGCTTACCGCCTCGCTGAACTTGTTCACGGCTGCGGCGTGGCGCTTCACCGCGAGGAGGTACTGGAGCAACGCCTCGTCGTCGGCATTGAAAGCTTCCGAGAGGGACTGAGCCTGGAACCGAACGTTAAAAGGATCGCCGCTTGATAAGAAGAGTAGCGCCCGTGAGAGAACGTGTAAGCTCGCGTGAACCGCGCGTTAATAAAAAATCTAAGAATCGGACGCGCATCACCAAATCACGTCCCCCCCCCCAAGAAAGAGTGGCTTTCTAGGGGAAGTTGCTGCTATCCAAGGTCTGACCGATAAATGAACACATGTGCCGGCCCTCATCCAACCGAACTCACCATAGCCGAAACGGGCGGCCACTCGGCCGGTCACTGCTGAATGGATGGTGGGATTACCGACAGTTCCATTCATATCAGACCAGATGCTAATACGCAGAATGAAACTCAGAATCGCAACCTCTCGTCCGCCTCTATTTCTCTACATAAGCTGTGTTGAACACTGTTCACTTTCACATAGCAACTAAACTTTATTTACAACACTGAATCACCAGCGGAAAATTCAGTACAACTCGATCAATCGGGGGCAAATAACATAACGAAACAGGGGTGGGGAAAGGGACTCGTAACAAATGAATGAGTATGGGGGGTCTCATAGCCAAAGGTCGTCAGAAACGGGTGAAACTAGTAACATTTGGGAATTCGGTGTAGATTCGGGAATTAATTGTGTTCTTTTTCGCGTCGGCGGCGCACGTCTACTTCCTGCGGTTGCTGCCTTCGCCCGTGATCATCGCCATGCGCATGAAGATGTTGAGAATGTTCATGTAGATGCCGAGCTGGCTGAAAAAAAGCAAGAAAATCTAGAAATCCAGCCAGAAAACGTACGCATTGATTGAGTCAAACTGGCGGACGCCCTCGTAGTAGCCGGGCTGCGGGTGCATTTCGGCCTGCTTCACCAAACGCTGCGTGTTGTAGAGCAGGAAGGCCGAGAACAAGATCAAGCCGCCGTAGACGACCACCGAGGCCAGGCCTGAAAAAAAAATTGTAATCGCTAATTTCAAACGCACTAGCTCCAAGGGCGCTGTGGGGCGGGAAGAAGAAGCAGCCGATGTTGGCCACGAACACGACGCCCAGTCCCATGCCGAGCGGGCCGGCCATCATCAGGAACTTCTCGGACGGGGCGGTGATGGCGGTGGCGGAAAGGCCTAAAAGAAAGGTTTGGCAATGCAAGGATCGTTACGTTAATCAAAGGTTCTTTGGCATTATCGAGGGGGACAGTATTAGCAACCTTGCAAGTCCAACAAAAAAAAACTTCGAAAACGTCTTAAGTCAAATTTGTTTATTTATTTATTTGTATTCTTTTAATAAAAATTGGCAAAATTTCAGGATTAAAATAGCAAAAAACACTTAGAAACAGTTAGACTACTAAGGTTCCAAAACTTGATTCCCCCAACCCCGATACTGCAAAAGAACCTAAGAAAATCATGCGGGGCGAAACCTACGATTTCCCGGCTACTGCGAAAAAAACCAAAATGGAGACAAATTCGCGATTCCACTCACCAGCCACCAATCCAGCCGTATACCAAGCGGCACGCATCAACGCCGGGCCGCCCATGTAGACCATCGGGGCGAGAACCTAGAGAGAAAAAAAAAGATAAAATCATCTCTCTATAGCTCACAGCTCCAAGCGCGCCGCAGTGAACGGCCCAGGCGACGTGCTTGACGAAGGTGTTCTCGTACGGGACCGACTGGCAGACGGCGCTTGTGCCAATGATCACGGCCAGCGTGGCGAACATTCCCTAAAACTGGTTAAACGCCTGAGGACCCGAAATTACCAAAATAGATCCAGAAGATGTGAGTCGCATGATCATCGCGTTCCTCGACGCGGCCACGCCAGCAGCCGCCGTGATTCCGAGGCCGGCGCCGAGGTATCCGTAGGTGGTGTGGAGACGATCACGAACATATTGCGGCCACAGGCTACAAAAAATAAGTAAAGAATAGGAACAAAGGCGAAAAGCTATTTTTTTTTCTCTAAAAAGAAACTAGAAGGAATAAAGTTTGTAAAGTCAGCTTTTTCGAAAAGCAAAAATTAAAAGTAACGGAGAAAATGAATAGAGGTTGTAAGGTCAGATTCTTCTAATTAGCCAAACCTAAAAAAGCATGAAGAGAATGAATTAGGTTGTAATTTTTTGGCGAAAAGTAAACCTAAAGAGGCTAAGAAAAAGACGAAACGTTGTAAAGTCATTCCTCAAAGACAAAACTTACGCGCTGTTCTGAATAATCGAGGAGCCGCTGCTCATGCCGAGTCCATAGTAGCCCAGGGCGGCAATGCCAAAAGCCGAGGCGCCGATCAGAGCATAGGTGCCGTAGAGATAGGCTAAAACAAAATAATTAACAAGCTTCCGGAAAAATCCCACGCTTTCCAGTGGTCGGGCCCAGCAGCCGCTCCTTCAGCGTCGGGCCCGTGCGCGTCTTGAAGTTGGACCACTAAAAGCGGAAAAATAAGATTTAATTGATTGGGTTTCAAGCCTGAAAAATGTTAAAACTAACCGTCTGCTCCGTGAACCTGTTGCCGATTCCGCCTTGGCCGAAACGGGCGCTCTAAAAAAAAGAAAGAAAGAAATAAAACGTCAAAAATACCTTTACCGCCGTTTGCGAGAATTGGCGAATCGGCTGGTAGCTGAGGGCGAGTCGCGAGAGCATTTTGTTTGAAGCTTTGCACTGAAAAGGAGGATGTAAGTGGAAATTGAAAGTTAGAAAACGCGAGAAAGCCGTCAAAAACATGCGAGAACAACAAAAACTAACCGAAAATCGGGGAAAGAAGTTTCAAAGCCGAGAATTCAGATTAAAAGGGAAGTCGGAAGCCAAGCAGAAACAAATAGGTGATATTGAAATTGATTGAGCCGGCTTTCACAAACTTTGCCGAGTTGCATCACTAGAGAATTTTCCAGACAAACAACACGAGGCTGGGAAAGAAGAGAAGAGACACGGGCGGCTACGTATCACACTGAAAATAGTGTGCCGAGAGTGGAGGGCACAGACAAGCAGCCGGCGGCAAGCACAGAACATGGAAAAGACTCAAAACGCGCCTAAAGGAGCCGGAACTCGCAGGAATCGCGGAGAAAAGTAGAAAAACGTTGCAAACCCGGTTATAGGTGCATGCAGAAGCGTACAAGTTATGAAATACCTGCACCACCACCCGGTTGACGATGGACAAGATGAATAGTCGAACCACGTTGCACGTGGAGGTCACGGAGTGACAGGTTGCTCTCCAACTCAATCGGTTTTCCCAGGAAAATGAGACGCTGCTCCTCAGGTTTGATGCCCTCGCGATCTTCAACTTTCTTCATCAACTTCAAGACGTTGTCAGAACGTTTCATATCAAACGCAACGCTTTTACCATCGAGATTTTTGACAAAGATTTGCATCTAAAGCACAGTAACACATCGTGTTCGAATTTTGCCTCCTCATCCTCCGGATCGAAGTCTTTCAGCGTCACCGTAGTCGAATCCGGCTTGATGTCAACCCTCACAGACTTGCCGTTGACGTTCTTGACCAGGATTTGCGTCTAAACAGACGTAAAACTTTTCGAGTAGCAACTTTGCCTCATTGCCCTTCACTTCAACGCCGCCATCACCAGCAGCAACATTCGGCAAAGCTTCAGCCAAGTCTGGAAGATCAAAACTATTGCCAAGCCGCTCGCTTACTCAGCAAATCAAAGTTGATGCAGCTGTTTGTGATGGGCGCGCGGCATTTGGGGCACAGTCTCGAGATGCGCGTACAGGTGGCCAAGCAGCGCTCGCAGAACGAATGGCCGCAGCCAAGGACCTTCGGGCGGTGGCCCTGCGAAACTAGGAGGAGAGTCGGAAAAGCGGAAGAAACAACTTACAGCGTTCAGTGCAAAGCAGGCAACAGCCGAGATCGCGAAAAGCGCTCATAGCTTATCCAATATATTCGAAATAAGCGAGTATAGATCTAACTTATTTTGAAGGGAAAATGCATGAAAAATGGGATGACTGAATTCGAGCATCGTCGGGGTGAAAAATTTTCATCGGTTTGCGAAGTCGGTTTCTAAAGCGCGGATACGCAATTTATACCGTATCCGCATCCGAGGGGGGGCTTTTTATATATGAATGGTTTATTCAACCGGGTAATATAACGCAGGCGAAAAATGATAAAATTTTGCAACGTAAAGTGGAAAAAAAAAAATGGGTGAAAGACGAGGGACGGGGATAATATGGTTTTTGCTTAGGAGTGATTGTGGGCTAGGGGAAGGGTTTCAAGACTTTTCCTAAAGCGTTTCGCGCTGGTCTGAGGGTTTAAGAGGAGAGGTGGCGGAAGTGAATTCCATAGTTTTGCGATGCGGCGTGAAAACATAGACCTAGGGGAATCTCCTACGCTGTTAAATCTAGTGAGCTGAAATCTGTGGGAACTCCTAGAAGGTCGCGTGGCAAGTTTAAGGAATTTGAGTGGATAGCTCTGCTGGAAAATTATTCGATAGCACAGGACGAGGTCATTTTGGTTTCGGCGTGTTTCGAGGGTGGGGATTTCAAAAAATGCTAGCCTCTCTTCACGGAATTACGGGACACCCTGGGCAAAGTTTAGAGTAGGCATGAAAGGTAAATCTTTTCTGGACATTTTCGATCTTCTGAATCAGATATTTGCGGGATGGAGACCAAACTTCACTCGCATATTCCAGAATCGGTCTACATAGTGTGCAAAAAGCGCGGATATAAGTAGTTTTATTGGGTACCTGAATCTTTTTGATGATTAAGTACGAAATTCGCGCCGCTCTTGCGCAGAGGAGAAAGCTTGCTTTCCCGAGAAGCTTGCTTTTTGTATAAAAAAAGACTTGATAAGTTAAATTTTATAAAATTGAGCTTGAACTCATCTTTAAAATTTAAAAAAGTGCTAGATTGTTTTTACAGTGGGCTCAATTTTTCAGCATGTCGTTCCGTTTCTTTTCCTTGCTTTGAGCGGCTTCGAAATCATGTCATTTTTCATTTCAGCATGGAATCGCAAGAGATGCCGCTCCTGCTGCCCGACAACATAAAGGAAGAAGCCCCCGACGAGGCGGTCATCGAGGGATTCTGTGACGAGGAAGACCCGCCGGAAGTAGATCCATACGGTTTGTAGGCCTTTCTTTGCTAACAAAACGTCTAGGTGACGACTATCTTGACGGCGATGTTGAGAGCGAGGAGGATATCAAGTGCAACACGGACTTTGACGAGCCCCTATCGGGACGCGAGGCGGAGAGGCAAGAGATTGATGTGGAGAGCGGCTCCTCCGACGATCCGCGAGATCCCGACTATGGTGCAACAAAGCAAAAGGTGATTTGAAGGCGTTTTTTGTAGATGTTGCTTCAAAAACGCCTCTCTATCTGGGCGTACAACCGTTCGCTTTTGAGGATCTAGGTATCTATCGAAAGCTTTTGAAGCGGTGAGGCAAAAAAGCGAGAAAAGAAGAAACAACATAATTAAAAAGTAGAAAAAAACGTATAAAAAAGTCTATTTATGTACCTTTCGAAAGCTTTCTTCAAGTGTTATAAAAACTACTCCCAAGAGCATCCTCCAAACAGCAAAAAGTGCTTTTTGAATGCATAATTTTGGGTTTTTTTTTTCAGCGTGTTTCGCCCCGGGCGCTGCTCGGCGATCAAAAGGGCCGCTATCCCTGCTACATCGAGGCGTGCAAATGGCGCGGCAACTTCCGGTCCGTTCGGTAACTTTTAACCTTTTTGCCTCAATCATTAATCTCCTAGTTGTACCCACATGCGCACCATGCACCCGACCTGGCAACGCCCACCGCGTTATTTGTTGAATGTTGGTTTTAGAATTTTTTCTTTAATTTTTGGTGTTTCGCAACAATAAACCTTTTTAAGCGCATCGCTCGGGATGGCAGGGTGCTGAAGCCGAACGACGAGAACGCCCGGTACGGCTGTTTCGTTGAGGGATGCCCGTGGCGCGGTCAATATAGGTAATTTTGTCAGACTATTCTGTCACTCTGGTTTTTTAGAGCCAGCCGTTCGAACCACATTAAGTCTCAGCACAAGGATTTCATCCCGACTCGCCACCGCGCTCCAAATGTTCGTTTCTTTTTGCGGTTTTTTCGCATTACCCGAGGGAAGGGACCACCTATTTTTCTTGGGACCTAAATTTGCTAATTTAAAATAGTGGAAGAGTTTCTAAATGGTTTTATGCTATTCCTAAATGTTTTTATGCTATTCCTAAATGTTTTTTATTAAAAGATATCAAAAGCATCGAATTTTCGACCAAAATGTCGAATTTTCAGAAGTTTTTAGATAGTTTTGTCGTTGAAAAACAAAAATAAAAATACAAAAGGTTCAGCCCCCCGATAATCCGAAGAACCGGTTTCACACTCTTTAAAAACATTTTTTAGGGTGGCTTCGTCGCTGCCGGCCCGTACAGCTGCCACCTGCCCGACTGTGCCTGGCGTGGGGCGAGCCGCTCGACTCGTGCCGTCCACATGGCGCGCGAGCACAGGGGATGGGAGCCGAGCCGCTATAAGCCGAAAAGAGTGAGTTTTCGATTTTTGTATAGAGTTGGCTATGATTTTTTTAGTTCAACTGCAACGAGTGCGCCGAGACGGTCAGCTCGCACAAGGCCTTCGTCGACCACATGGCCAGCGCGCACAATTTGGGCAACCTCATCGAGGAGCACTTCAACAGCATGGTCGAATATCAGGCAAGGCAGAGTTTTTCGCTAACAAGATGCTCTTAGATTTGGTACCAAAACATCCAGCGCGAGCACTCGATCACGTTCGTGAAGCGCCAGGGACTCAAGGTCGGCCAGCAACATCAGGTGCGAGTTTGGGTGAAATTATGATTACAAATTTCTGCTTTATATCGAACCAGATTCAGCTATGAATCGGATAAGGCGTTTTTGTGGCTTTTTTAGTAAATCTGAGCTAGACTTGCGATATTAAATCTAGTCAAAAGCTTTGAAAAAATCTCTAACGGTGAATTTCACTTCCGGTTCGACTTTTTGGTGGCAACTTGTAAACCTTTGAGGCTCGGGAATGGGTTGAAAAAGTGTACGTAATCATACCCTATATAAAACTATAGGAAATAGGAAGAATGATGGATCCCGGATCCCAAAAATCGAGGTTTTTTAGATCCTCTACGTCTACTGCTCCCACTCGGAGGTGTGTACCCCGGAGGGGCCATACATGCGCGCCAAGCCCACCGCCTACAGGCCGAAGAACTTCCGCGTCGATCTCGCGGAAAGGCCGACCCTGTGCTGCGTCTTCCTGCGGGTAGCTGACGAACACCTTTTTATCCCTGGATTTAGGTAGTGCATTTTGATGACGGCCATCTGACTGCTCACGGCTGCCTGGAGCACACGGGCCATCGTCTCGGCACCAGTCTACTTCGGTATATTTTTGTAGTTTTGATTGCCGTCTTTTGAAAATCGGAAGTGGAGATATCTTTTTTTTGCAAATCCCGAAACGTTTAGAAATGCAATTGCAATCATTATAATAGCCTTTTTGTATAAGGATTTAGCTTGATTTAAAGCCCCAAAAATTGTTAGACAAGGGTGCGACTTTGAAGTTTTTTAGTCGAAAATCATTTTGTTTGGTTTTTTTGGGTTTCATGAGTATGTAGGAATAGCAAAAAACAGCGCAAAAACGGTTTTTATTCCAGATTGTCCTCACTGGAGCGCCTATGCGTGGAGGAAAACACCTATCTACGAGACTTGGATGACGTCAACGCGCTGAAGCGTATACTGGCTCGCCTACAAGGTACAGTTTTTAACAACGATTTTGGTTTTATGTTTTCTACGTTTTCTATTTTATGTTTTTATCAAATTTTCCAGTGCTCGAAGGCCCGTCGCCCGACGAATATCAGCCGGAGAGGCGCCTGAACCCGGAAGAGCCCTTCAAGCACATCTTGGCCACCGATGAACTCCAGTCGCTGTCGCGCCGCTTCTCAGATCCTACGGTATTCTATTGTTTTTCACGAAAATGTTTTTTTTTTCTAGCTATACCCACCGGGCTCGGTGTTCGGCTACGTCTCGCCAAACGAGGGCTACTTTGGATTCGGCTTCTCGGACATGAGAATGGCCAGGTGGTGGCGAAAATATTCGTCGAAAGGCGTCTGCTTTGATGAGGTTTGTTTTTCCTCGCCTTTTTTGTCTTTTTAGCATCTAAATTCAAAACTTGAGTTTAGATGCCAATTTGCATCGACGGTCGCCCGTACGTCGTCACGCTGGCCCTCGTGTTCGCCACGGGCGACCGCGTGCGCGTTGCCGCTTTTTTTACGTCAGCAACTCGCCGGACAAGACGCCGCTCTTTGGGAAGTTGAGCTCAATGTGGGTGGTAATTTATTGTGCTTGCAATTCGTCGTTTTTAAGCGATAATGGTGTGTTTATAACTTTGAAAAACGACTGGCGTTCTTTGCAAGATTTTTGAAACGATTTTGCCGGGTATTCGATTCAATAATCTCCGAAAATGCGATTTTCTCCGATACGATCAATTTTTCTGGAGAAAATACGGAGATTTAAAAGTTAAAAGTGCTAGTCTAATGATCATTTTTGCGGGTAGAACTTGTTTGGAACAAGCAAAAAAAAACTTTTTCTTGACTTCGCGAATCAAGAAGACGAAAAACGAAAATCATATTCCTCCAAATTCCAGTACTGTCGGCCATCTCCAGACGTTCGTCACGCCACTCTCCAACGACTACCCGGCGCTGATCACCCAACACTTTGGCCGCTTCCAACGGGTTTGACCTTCTTCGATATTTTAACACTATTTTTTTCAGGAAAACGGCACCTTTGATCTGCAGCTCTCCGAGTGGTCCCTGCTGCTCGACTGGGCCAATGATCTACAAGCGCTCATCGACAACAGCCCTCGACCGGCTGACCGTGCTGCTGACGCTGCGCCGGTTGCTGCGCCTCCAGGACCAACGTGTCTTTCAACAAACGCTCAACGAGCTGTTTGTCGGGTTCAATGAGATGCAGCACTGGGCGGTGAGCATTGAAAGGGGCTAATGACTTTTGTTTTTAGCTCGCCGTCCACCTCGACAAGCTGCTTGAGCCGAACTTCTTGGCGCGCTGGTCGCCGCTTAGCCGAAACCCACTAACCGCCCACAGCAACCCGGCGCTGGACTTTGCCGTGAGGTTGGGTCTCCTTTAGAATTTTGGGGTGTTTTCTTCTCTTTGTGTAAATTTTTTTAGAAAAGTAACTTATTCATTTTTATTTTTGGTAAATTTTTTATAGGCTTTTTAGCTTTCGGTTGCTTTTTTGACTAATTGAAAGCAAAGATTCGGAAACATTTGTAATTTGAAAATTTGAAAAAATTGAGAATTATGGGATTTGGTCGCAAAAGTCATTACGTAAAAATATGTATTTTCTTTTTTACCCTAAAAACTGGGTTAGGGTTTAAAAGTGGTTCTAAAAAAGATCTTGTTAACTTCGCATATACCTATAAATTTTTTCAGGGTGCTACGCGAGCGGTACCTCTCCACCGATGGCTACCTGCGAATCGACCAATACGTCGGCGATTTGATGGAACGTGTCGGCGACTACAATAATATCAAGGTAACAGATTTTGCAGCTGAACCCTCTTTTTTTAGTGCAAAGTTCCGATGGTCCGCTCGACCCCGGACATGCCGCGTCAACTCCCGCTCGATGATGCCATGGTACGCAGCCTTTCAGAAATTTTCATCAAGTTTTAGAATCTGAGCGTAGAGGAGCAGCGCTCGCTGGCCTCGATGCCAAGCACTTCCGGGTCGTCCCTCTCCAGCCTGCACAACACCTCGAAGACGGACAGCCAGAACAACTACCAGCCGTGCTCCAGTCGACGCGCCATATACGTGCCGGCACCGGATCCCGGGTCAGACATTTTTTTGAGTACTGTAGTGATCGCTAATATTGGCCCTTGCTTTTGACGCAAAACTTGGCGTAAATCTGTTCCGTTTGCCCAACATTTTGAATCGTTTTAGGAAATTTAAAGCTCGAAAAATCGATCATGCTATTTTGTTCAAAAATTAGGGATTTCGATTCGTCGTGGAGAATATAGTAATCGATTGCTTTTTTGCAGGTTCTGCAAGGTCACGCAGTTCCTCAACTTCCCGACGCTCTCGCCGTCGTCCGAGTCGCTGAGCAGCTTCTTGGCCGATCTCCCCTCCACCTCGACGCAGCTTCCGCCGTTGCGCTGGAACCGCAACGGCCAATTTTTGGAGACGGTCGAGGAGGTCGAGCAGCCTGAGCCCTGGCTCCAGAGGGCCCCCCTGCCGTCTGCCGAGCAGCCACAGGTACATTTGGGAAAATTTCGTTTTTTTTTCATTGAGTTTTTCGCATTATCGGGCGATCAAATTTTTTCCTGTTAGATAGACCTAGCTAGGTCGGCAATTTTAGTTTTGAAAAATAAATTAGCTATATTTCTGGGGGGGGAACGATCTAGAAAACTGAAATGTCTTCGAAATATGGATTTTGTGATGGCAATCAATGATATGAGGCCGAAAAATCTATATTTGTTTTTGTAAAATTTTAGCTCTTCGTATTTGTAAAAACAGGGTACAAGGACTTCTTCTTTTGATGGTAGAAAAATTGGATCCTTGGTAAAACGGTTTCCCCCGATAAAAGACAAGTACTCTTCCATCGTTTTAGATGTACGCCGACGAGCAGGTGGTTTACGACGCGGAGGTGGTGGTCGACGTGGAGACCGTGGCGGGCGGACCTCGTGAAGATGGCGCTGTCTGCATGAACAATTCCCAGGAGGTAGATTTTTACTATTAAATTAATTATTCGAGTTTTAGGTGCCTTCCACTTCCCTGCCAAAGGCGAAGAAACAGCGCGAAGCAGCCGGAAAAGTTGTCGCGGGACTTCTCAAGGAACTTGTCGACATCGCCGCCACCTAAAGCCTAGGCTCGAATAGCATTTTTGTATTATTTGATTTTTGTGTTGTATTTGGGGCCGTGCCATTTCAGCAGACAAAATTTTTGAAGTTTAAAAATTGTTGATTTTTGGAAATTTTTAAGTTTCAAATCGCGATTTTGAAGATTCTCTTGATTAAAAATTGTTGGTTTGGAAAAATTATTAGCGTTCAGAATTTTTGTGGGTTGCTGAAATGGCACGGCCCCGTGTCGCTTACTCTTTGGCTTGCCCCCCTCCCATATATCGTTGTGTCGCTTTTGTAGGGGGGCACGTTACCGCTCGTTAGGAAATTTGTTGTATGTTGCTTGTTGCATGTACAAAAAAAAATATATGGCGTCTATTGACCACTCATTTCTTGATCTCCCAGATAAATTTTGTGTTGAAATATCGGCGAATTATCCATTGTATTTTGCGGTTTCCGCTAAAATGTTTATTCGCTTGTAGCGCCCAATATTTTTTGTGTTGCAAAGGCACCGGTAGTCGTGGGATGAGATGATGCATATGGGGGGATGTTCCGGAATGGTTTTTACAGACCCGTCGTTAAAGTAAGAAATTTTCGAAACAAGGTTATGATTTTTTTCTAGAAGTACGAGCTGCTGACGCGGTCCATAGGGCGTTGCTGCACGTTCTGGAGGCCCTCGTCGAGTTCCCACCTGGAAAAGGAGGTTTTGGTTTGTTAGCGGGGGGAATAACTTGCTTTTATTTAATTAAAAATGTATTGTAACAAAATGTAGGTTAATTTAGAGTGATTTTAGCAATTGTCAATACTAAAAAGCTAAGAAAATATATTTTTGAAAAAGTAATATGTTTTTCATAATTGATTCACGGAAATTTAGGTCGTAGCCTTGTAAATTCTTTTAGACTTGTGGGAATTTAAAATTTTTAGGCAAGGTAGCGGAAATTTACGTACTTAAACCGCTTCTTATCCCGAATCAGCACGAATGTCATCGCGGTCAGCGCCATGAACCATACGTAGATGGCCACGATGAATATCGTGGAGAAGGCCAGAATCGGAAAAACGATGCTCTAAATATTATTTAGTTTTAAAATATTGGTTTTAGGATTTAGACGAAGTAGAGTTTTTAGGTTTTGCGTTTTTAGATAAAAAGCCACAAACCTCCGAATGATTAGAAGAGATCAAGAAAATGATCGTCAGCGCCATGTGCAACAGGATTTGGATGACGACATTGGCGATGAAGGGTAGGATCAGAAGGTGGTTCTCGATGAGAATTCCGACGATCAGGCTCATTGCAGAGGCGATCTAGAAAAGAAAGTTTTTTAAACCTAAAATTTAACCGATATAATGGGTTTTGATTTGAGCCATAAGATGATTAAATATTTTAACCAATCGATTGATCGACAAACCTGATATAAAGAAGTGCATACAATCGGCAAGATAAAAATATCCTGCAGTCCCTTGGAAAGTTGATGGGAAAGTGAGAGGATCACGCAGAGGGCTGAAAATTGGGATTTTTTTTGTATAAGCTTTATTTACTAAGATATACTATTGATTTTGTTTAGTAAAAAAGAGATCCAAAACTTACTAAAAATCGATAGCCCGATCGCCAGTCCACCTACTACGCAACCGCCGACGCGAAGCCGGCAAAAGCCGAAGCAACACCGATACCTAAATGGTAAGATTCTTAACCTGATTAATGCTATGGTTTTCATATTGTTTTTATAGTTAGTTGAGTAGTTTATTAATCATTTTAAGAGAGTTTTTCAAAGATATGTTGTAAGGGACTTTACTTTAGATCATTAGTTAATGATTTTTTCAGGCGTTAAAATGAAATTAAAATTAATGTCAAAAGTATAATTTTTAAGTTCTAATTAAATAAAATAACAAGAATTCATTGAGATGTTAATTCATCTGAAGTCAGGTAAAAGTATAATTTTCAGACCCTCACCTCGCCATGATCGTGTACAGGTTGATGGCGCTGGCGCTTTCCGAAATTTGCGTCAACGTGTACAACGAGCTGGAGATGGTGGCAGTTTTCGTGTTGAGTAGGTCAATCTACAATTTAGTTTTAATGGTTCGTTTTTAGCCGCTCACTTACCTGTGTCGGCGAGTTGGGCAACTTTACACAATTGTTCTCGGTGTCCGGCGGGAATTGCAGAGAGGATGAGCGGCGGATCTGGAAAGAAGAAACTTTCTTAGAAGTGAAAATTTTATAGGTAAGTCATATAATTTCCTGAATTTTTATAGTTTGTTATTTTTTCGTTTTTCTATAAGCCAAATCGATCGATTTTTACGCTTTACCCACCGCCATATAGTCCCTGGCCGGCAAGGACAGCAGATTGCCAATGATTCTGATGCTCATTTTGTTGAGCCTGAGCTTTTCGGGTTTTTAGATGAGCACGTGTTTTACTAAAGCCTTGAACAGCGGATTTCAAGTGTTGTGAAGCTTAATAGCTTCCGTCTAGGTCTTGCTCAACTTCGTGCTTCACTCGAATCGCCGGCGACGGCAGCTTGGTCGATTATCAAGTTAGTTTTCAGAATCTGGCGCTCAATTAGCAGAATTAGCTCATGAATTTTTGCTTGCTCTTGCTCCAACTTCGGGCTCCAATCGAATTTTTGAGCAAAGTGGAAAATTCGCGAATCGGCAAAGTAGGAATCAGACCTTCGACTCTAGCTCCAGGTAGGGCTCAAAAGTTCGTGCTCAGAAGCACTACAGCAAGGCCCAGAATGAGCTCAATAGCTTCAGAATATATCTTGCTCCAACTTCCGGCTCCACACAAATCGCCGGCGGGTGGAAAGTTGAATGGCGTGTGGCTCATCCCATTCCCGCGCGGCGTGGAGACACCCACACCCAGTCTCGCCAGTCCAAATTCTCTGGTGCTTTATTGGGCAATTTGAATGGGTGGTGGTGGGATTGGAGGTGCCCTCCAGAGGGCCCAATTGGCCCCAGTCGCCACATTATTTGGCCACACACTTCCTCCCCGAGGCGGCCAAAATAAAACACTCAAAATGAAAACGGGGCCCCCGGGTTTGGATCTTTGCCATTGTTGGAAGGGGACAATGGGAAGCACTTTTTTTGGGAGAATGAGGCTGGAGAGTATTAGTCGGTCAAGAGGAGGTGAGCAGGGTACAAAGTATTGCTCTCCCTCTCCCTCTCCCTCTCTCTCCCTCTCTCTCTCTCGCTCTCTCTCTCTCGCCTATGCCGTGAATAACCTTTGCTAGCTTGCCTGCTCGACTACCTTTCCGGTCAAAAATTCACTGCTAGCTTGCCGTGCAGCGAGAAAATCATACTGGCCTGACGTTGGCGCACCAAAAGAAACCGTAATTGCCTCGCAAACGGACATCGATTTTTTTATATGCTTTTTCATAGATTTTGATTATATTTTAAGCCGAAAGTTGCTCAAAAAATGTTTGTAAAAACGTCAAAATGGGGGTACTTTGACATTTTTAGGCCAAAAATAGTTGATTTTTTGGGAAGGTGAAAAACAACATACAGCTCTGATATAAAAAAGCTATTCTTGCGCCAAAAAAGAATGTAAGGTGGAATGAAAAATCTTAACGGAACAGTGGCAAAAAGGAATAAACGAGAACCACGAGCCTAACGAAAGCATGCTTCCCTATTCAAGCACCCTTAGACAAGGCGCAAAGTCACGTTCTTAGGTAGAATAGGGAATGAAGGGGGCTCCAAAAGACTTTCTTCTGCGTTTCGAGAAAAAAATAGCTGCAGATTTGCTTACTTGGACAAAGCTCCTCAAAAATAACTGCTTGTTTTTCCCTGAGAGTGACAGCAAACGGACGGGAGAGCGAGAGACTGAATGAGAGAGAGAGAGGGAGAGAGAGAAAGAGAGAGAGGGAGAGCGAGAGGGTGGATATGATAGCAACCGGAATTTCGCAGCTCTCTCTCTCCTCTCTCTCTCTCTCTCTCTCTCTCTCTCTCTCTCTCTCTATCTCTCTCTCTCTCCGAATACGTTAATTACGACTATTCAACCAACTTAGGAAAAAACGTTACCGGAAATGCAAAATACCCAAAAATGACGATTGTCTAGCCAAAACCAAGGCAATCAAGCAACGATTCTTTCGGAATATCTTAGGGTTAAGGCAGTAAATGAACCCTAAATTTACCTAAAAACTCTACCTCCTCCCCCACTTCCTCTGGGCGCTCCTCCAAAAACGTGAATGGTTGTTGGCGTTTCGGAATGAAAGCCGTCAAATTTTTTAGGGCCAACATCAAGCGCTTCAATATATGATAGGCGGCCATGATCCCGTTGGTTGTACCGGGGGAGAATCCTTAGTTTTTCCTTTTTCTTTCCCTCACAAATTAGGGCTCCAGGACCAGAATAATTGGGTGGGCGATTGGGGTGGATTTCGGATTTGGGCCAATTTTTTGGTGGTTGAATAGGGAGAGATGGAAAGTGAACGGGGGGTTCTAGAGGGGATTCTCGGGCTCACCTCAATCCGGGGGATTTGTGCCTTCTTGCTAATCGCCCGCGTCGACATGATTTATTCGGGGGCGCCGCCGAGGCCGCAGCGGGGAGGAGGCGGATGCGGGGCTTCTTCTTTCCTTGGGAACCGTGTCTTGCTCAGACTTCTCCTGTGAGCTTGACCTTTTTCGACAAATGCTGCTGCTCCTAAAAAGCGATTGTTAAAATCATTCCACTTCAAAAATCGTTCCAAAAAACATAAAAAAGAAAACAAACTGGAAGCCACTAAAAACAGTTTCTTAAATCATGATGTTTTAAAGCTGATTTAAAGATTCAGCACATCAAATAACCGAAAAATACAATAGTCATATCCTAATTTTGGCAATTCCTGCATTTTTTCCGTTTCAGGTAAGCTTCAAAAAAATAATCGAATGAGAGTGAAAGAGAGCACGGGGGGCGAGAGAGAGAAAGAGGGAGAGGGAGAGAGAGAAAGAGAACCAGAGCGAGAGCGAGAGAGATGATAGAGAGAACGGGATCCTAAGCTACAGTAATCCGATTGAGTTCACCGAATTGCATTGCGAAAATATATTAACAACAGAACCAAGTTCTGCCTGGAAAAAATTCTCGCTCTGCTTCTTCTCGCTCTGCTGCTTCTTATCTTGAGGAATAGTGGGCAACAGATACCTTCCCTTTGAGAAGTTCAAAATTTTCAAAGCTGAGAAAAAAAGCGAAAGTAATTTTAGCAAAATTTCCTGAATGGAAACATTTTGTTGGATTTTGTGTTTGATTCAAGATTTCCGGGGCCCTTTTTAAGGGATGCGGGCACTTTTTGAAGAGGGGAAGGGCGAACACGCGATGTTGGGCTTCTTTGCAAAAAACCACACAAACACACAACGCTACACTGGCTACATTTGACGTTTAGTATGTCGTAGTTGTGTTGTAGTCGCTAATCTTTGAGCAAGGTGTAGCCACATGTAAAAGGTAACTTACAGGTACGTTTTTCGGAGTTTTCAAGTTTTGGTGCTAAAGGCTCCTGAAAAATCAATTTTAAAGGAGCTTCGAAGGCAAGAAATCTAGCGCCTGAAAGTTTCGGCCGCCCTTTCAATACCGCGTTCCTTAAAAACAGCGAGCGATCCAAAAGATGTTCGCCTCCTACTTGAAGCTCCATCCTAGCTTCGAGCACTTCCGGGGGCTTTGAGGCAAAAGTTGCGTTACGTACATGAGCAAGAGAGAGAGAGAGAGAGAGAGAGAGAGAGAGAGAGAGAGAGAGAGAGACATCGAGCTCTCTAAAAGGCCAATGACAAAAAATTAGGCGTCGCGCGAAATGTGAGCCCAGAGAGATCGGCTAGCGGAAATCGGAGCCCAGCCATTCACCCCCAAAACACGTAATAGACGACCACCACCCCCGAGGGGGTCCCACAACGACAACAACCGCTTCGGATTTTCCATCAAGATCCCATGGCTAATTGGGCATAATACGACAAAAGGCCGATGATTTTGTCTGGGAGTACAAAACTTACCAATACATAGCCAGCTATTAGAGGTTCGCTTATGCGTCGAAAAATTTCAAGTGAAATCGGAATTCAGCTTATTTTCAAGCAGCTAGAAATTCACAATCAGAAAATTAGTATTTTCTGAAGTATCACTTCCCGGAATTCCGAATTTGGCGCCTTTTAGGGCAAAAATTTTACCACTGCCACGAGGTCCCTAGGGTAAACATCGGGGCGTACACTTGGTGCGCGGCTCTGTGGGTAAGTTGAGAATGTGATATGCGTAGAATTTATAATTCTCCTTTTGAAATTTGAGGACTACCCTGTTGATGGCATGACCGCTTTAAAAACGCTAAAACTTTTGGATTCTGGAAAAAAGGCGAGCCAGGTATCTTCTCTCTCTCTCTCTCTCTCTCTCTCTCTCTCTCTCTCTGTCTCTCTCTCTCTTTATCTCTCTCTCTCTCTCTTTCCATCTTTCTCACGCTCTCTCTCTCTCTCTTTCCATCTCACTCACGTTCTCTCTGGCCTTCTAGCTCTTCTCTCTCCTTCGCCTCAAAATTAAACATAGTTTTGTAAAATTGGCATTTTGCACTTTCAAGTCCACTCATCAAAAATCCGTCGGTATCCCCAAATCGGGGATATCCGGCGATGAGGACACTCAACAATTTCCGTTCAACACCTCATCTAATTACACTAGGAGGCAAACGTCAGTAGCAAGGCCACACGGAATTTAGATCCCTTAAGACCCTGGAGGCGCCCACAAAACAAATGCGCGGACTGACTCAAATTTAAATTGGTCTCCAGGCCGCGGCTCGAAATAATAACGCTTCCTCATTGGTGGGGCGTCGAGGATTCATGATAATGAACCTGGATTCAATCTGTGGAGGGAGAGAGAGTGTGCAAGAGAAAGCGAAAGAGCGAGAGGCGAAAAAGAGAAAGCGAGAGAGTGAGAGAGAGAGAGAGATTTTGGCCAGATTGTTGCTGCGGAAAAAGGAACCTTTAAAATAGCCCAATTCGTGATCATCTGCCAGTTAAAAGCCAAATCTTGGTGTTCTGACGCCTTTAAAAGGCATAAAAAAACAACAAAAATTTGGAAGCGTTCGCATCAACGGACCGAAACCCTAAAAAGTTTTAATTTCAGGGTCACCAATCTGGCATAATCTGATTAAAACGGGGTTCCGAAAATAGGGTTTCCATTTTCTAAAAGTGTTGTTCAATTTTCGCGCTGTAATATTCAACATCTGGAAGACCCGAAAATGATCAGGATCTTTGGTGCCCGAGGGTCCAGCCAACCCTAAAAATGTGCCGAAACGAGGGCTTGGTACCCTTAAAAAGTGGAGCAATGAAGATGCTTTTCGCCAAAGTTCGGGGCCCTCTGCGCGCCGACCAAAAACTCATAAGGAAAACGCCCTCGGAATGTCGCCATCCATCTTTCGTATAATCCCGGGGCGAGGAGGCCGCGTTGGGGCAGGTTAACGATTTTGGAAATAGTGCAGAGAATATTTTGAAAGATTAAAAGAATGAAGAATCATTTTCAATATTTCAATTTTTTTTGCATAGAAAAGCAAGCAAAAACAAATATTCAATTTGGGCAGATCATTTTTTCATAATATTTAGTAAGAGAGAAAGAAAGAAAGAAAGAGAGAAAGAGCGAGATAGAAATAGAGAGATAGAGATAGAGGAAAGTTGAACGGTACACAGAAACTTTTTTGCTTTGAGCTGGATAACACCAAACCAGACATAAAGACAAGAAATGTTCGCGCGTCTTCTTGGCCCTATTCGCCCCTATAAGGGGTCCCCGATCATCAAAAATTCATTCGCCATCTTTCCGGGAATCCGCCCGGAAATATGAGACGAACCCCCCTTGAAAAAGCCAAGAACAATTGGCCCTCCCGGACTGTTTCGGCACAAAAAGCTCCGGGAGGGTACTTTAAAGGGACCGGATGGGTGTGTTTGTTGAGTTTGATCTTGAGGAGAGAGAGAGAAAGAGGGTGAGAGAGAGAGGGGGAGAAGCAACCGTAGCTATAGATAGAGATATAGTTAGCGGCTATCGACTAGCAGCTATGGCGGAGCTTATGCATCAAACGGCGGAGTGTTTCGGCAGAGCAAATTTTCCGTAAAGTTCTATAAGTATGCCAGCATAACTGCAGGAACTATCTTAAGACCGAAAAATTTTTTTTGCATTTCCAGCGATAACCAGAGAGCACCCTTTAGCCCTACCGTAGCCTGGAAAAATGGGTTTAACGCGAAACCTGGACTAGGAGAACCTGCACATAAAAGGTTAACTTTGGCCAATACTGTAGGATCCAGAAATGTATAGTTTCCCGAACCACAATAACGTCCAAAGCGAACTAACTGTCCGCATCTTTCCGCGAAAACGCAAAAAACACCGTGAGACGATCTCATCGCCCGCTTCACATTCCCCAACGCTTCTAATCGGGTTTCGAGCACTGGGCCGCTGTGCCTCTTCTGGCGGGAACAACCCCATTTGGCGGCCAATTAGACGGAAAGGCCCAATTACGCACGTTTCTCGCCATTCCGAAGAGAGAGGAGCAGCAGCAATGGGTTCGAGGCTTGAGGAAGAGCCTTTTCCGCTTCCTTGAAGTCCGGACGGGCTGAGCCATGCGCTTGCCCCCTTAATTTGCATAGGATGACCTTCGGCCTGGGTTTTTTGCAAAAATGTTTTTCTATGGGAAAGGGATCGAGAAAGAGAAGGATAGAGTGAGAGATAGCGAGAAAGAGATAGCTAGAGAGATACAGAGAGTGAGAGAGAGAAAGAGGGAGGGAGAGACAGAGCGAGCGCGAGAGAAGGCGAGAGATAGATAGAAATCTATTTGGGCAAGAGAGAGGCACGGTTCTCCGTCAGCTTTCGAGTGCTGATACCAAGCAACTAATGGAAAAAAACTTAAAGCTGTCGAATGCAGGCAATTTGTTGGCCGGAGACCAAAATTTTGGTTCTGGAATGCGTGAGAGAGATCGAGAGAGAGAGAGAGAGAGAGAGAGAGAGAGAGCGAAGCGGAGCGGAGCAAATGGAGTGTGTATAATTAGCCAATGCAGTTTCCTAAACTGTGCAAGCGTTGTAGCCAATCAAAGCTCAGCGCTTCCAACCAAAAGTCTCATTCCCAAAGACCGACGCGATACCCGGAAACCGCAACAGGATGTCGTGGGAAATGGAAACTTAGGTGGATTGTGGTGTCGCTCCTGTGAAGACAATGGCAAGGACATCCCCAGCAGCAAAAACAGTCCGAAAAAATTGGTGCACTACAGTAGTACGTACGGCCATGAGGAGATTAGATGGAATGCAATGGCTGGGTTGCTGCTGGGCTACGCAAAAACAGCTAAAAACA